AGCTATTTTAGAAGGGATTGCGTAGTTAGATGTTTGAAAGGATTTAGCTTTTTAAACTTATTTTAGGGCTTGATAGGAGGAAGTTGTAAAGAGAAGGGAAACAACATTGGTAGTGGATGATGGCAGTAAGGTTTTTGGGTGAACTGAAAGCATGGAAAGGAATGCCATGGATGGAAGATCAACATAGTTAAAACTTAACCCATTTTGGCAATGACAAAAGGGGATTTTTAGAAGTCTAAAGTTTTGGTTTTCAAGCATATATCTACATGAATCTAAGATATTTTTGAGAAATCTAAGCCAATAGAATGAAAAAGAAAAGAATGAGGAACATTTGGATATATTTGAGTGACAAAAGCATGCTGGTCAACTGTCATATATTGGATTTGAGCTATTGGTTTCAATAGCTTTTTTGTGTTTTTTTGTTTTAAAGAGATAAGCTCTCAAACCTAGTTAGAGAAAGTAAGGATGAAAAAATGAAAGAATTAGAAAATTTTTAGATTTTATAGCTAGTAGGTTTTATTAAAACTACGTAGTTTTGGATAGTATGTGAAAAGAGAGATAAGGCAGTTGTCAAATAGACTCGGCTCTGTTGATTGACCCAACCCACGCCTATTGAAAGTAGTTGACTATTGCCCAGCTTCTTTGACCGGTTTGATCGACCTAATTTTGGTAATTTTTTCCTTTTATTTTATTTATTTGTTTGTTTATTTATAAGTTAAATTGCATATTTAATGTTAAAATTTTAGATATTTACTTTTTGTCTAAAGAGTAAGTTTTCTTTTGAAAATAATTAAATGGAAAATTATATATAAATTAAAGAAAATAAAAAAAAAACTATTATTAAAAAATAATAAACGAAGTCTCTCGTGATAAGACTTTAAGAAGTTCGAGTAGTGATTCCTGAAAATTTTTTAGGTAAGAAAATACTTTTAAAAATTACCAAAGTATTGAAATATTTAAAAATTCTTTTTAATAGAAAGATCTTTATTTCTTCTTTAATTTGAACAATTTTTTTAAAAAAGATAAAAAAAATATAAATTATTTATAAGTGTTTGCATTTTTTAGGAAATGAATTTATAGATAATTATATTATTACATAAATTTTAAATATTAATAATTTTTAAAAACGCAAATGAAAATCTCTGATGATGATATCCAAAAGAAATCCAAGTAGTGATTTTTTAGAAATATCTAGGTAAGAAAATTTATCTAAAATGTAGCCATTGTATTAAAGCATTTAGAATATTTTTTGATAAAAATTTCTCATTTTGTTATAAATGGCATAAAAAATGATTTTTTAAAAAATATATTTGATTTTAAGTTATAGATATTGTATTTTATAATTTGCTTATTAAATATAAATATTGAACATAAATATGAACCATCGAGGATAAGAATTTTAAAAATTTTGAGTAGAGATTTTTAAAGATTCCTTAGATGAGAAAGTTCCTCTTAATATTGCCAAAAGTATTTGAATATTTTTTAGGAATTTTTCAATATATAAGGTTCTTATTTATTTTTCAAGCAAACAAATAAAAATAAAAATATTTTTTTACTATGATAAAAAAATTAAGAAAATTAATTATAAATGCCAAAATTAAGATCATTTTAGTTATAATTAAAGAATAACATATAATTTATTAGTACTATTTTAAATGGATGCTATGAGGGTACTAATCATTCCCCACATGTAACCAACTCCTAAATCCAAACTATTTTTGTAGACTCAAAAAATTATTTTTTTATAAAGTTTTAATTAATTTTAAAATTTTAATAAAAATGATAAATTTTAATAGGTGACCAATTATACTTATCTAAAAAAAAAAATGATGACAACTCCTTTTTATTTTAAAATTTATCAACAGCATGAAAAATCGTTGCAATAGTTAATTTAAATATTATTTTTAAAAAGTTAATTTTTTTTCAAATAATACACTATTCTCATCAAATTAAAAAGAAAAGGTAATATATTAATTAATTACAAGTTTTAATTACCACTGCCAATAGATATGCTGATGTATTGGTTAGGTCAGGCCTGATTGACATCTTGAAAACTTATTTTCGAGCATGAGCCCTACTCAATCTGAGTCACTCATTTACTTTATATTGTTATATAATATTAAAAATATTTATTTTACACATATTTATATTTATAATTAAATAAAATATTGTTTATTAATATAATTATACCGTTAGACTGCAGCTGAATTTAAACCCAAACCTTAAAATTCATATTCAAGATCCGGTTCAATTTAATCCGGATTATAAAGCCTAGGTCGGCCTATTGATGTTTGATAACTTTAGGTACATGTTAAAAATTTTTATAATATAATTATGTATTTATTTTTTTTTATTAAAACTACTGTTAATAAACCAATTCTCATGCTATCTTCCTTGAAGTTATTAGTAGAAAATTTGACCAATGGTAATCACGAATAAGATACTCTAAATTCAATCTTTCTTACTTTTAATTATTTAAACAAGCAATTTATCAAAAATAATAATAAACGAAGGTACTATATAGATTGATAAAAAGGAAAAAAAGGTGAGGAAGAGAAAATGACTAGTAATTTAGGGCTTCTTTTCATCTCTGTATTATGTTATAACAAAAGGAAAATGAAAATTAACAAATAATTAAGGAATAAATAATCATAAATAATTGATTAATGTTTAAGAAGTGTTTTCTTTTACACTTTTTTCTTAACCAATAAGGAAAAATATTGTTTTCTCTTCTTCTACCTTTTACCCTTTGTTTTCCTCTCGTCAAATATAGTTTAAGAAATTATTAATGAAGTTTAATTATTAGAGGAGAAACTACTACTATTAGAAAATGATTTAGTTAAGATAGTCTTTTTCTCTTTTTGTTAGTTCAATTTGGATTGCTTAAAGCTATCAAAATAATTAAGTGCTCATAAATTGTACTTATAGAGGAATTACTTTTTTATATAAAAGAGGGTTAAATGCCCAACTAAACTCTACAAATTACATTGAGCCTAGCCCAACTTATTGTAATTTAACTAAGGTAATGTTCAGTACGAGATGTTCACCATAAAAATTATAATGATTTATATATAGTAATTAAATTGTTATATTTAATAAGCATTCGGTGATACTATGTTATAATAATTTTGAAGCATCAAAAGTGATTGGATCATATGAAGAGTGATTTAATTTACATTCAAAAGAGTGAGAAACTTTTATCATCAAGGAAAAATGATATGTAAAACTAATAATAGTAAATTTAATACGTTAATTAAAAATTTACTTTCTCTTAAAATTGTAATTATTTTATATTATAAATTTTTATGTTTTCAAACTAATATTCATTATAACAAGTACAAAAATAAATTGTGTTTTTATACTTTTTAATATTTTATATATAATATAATTTTTTGTTTTTATTTTATTATGAATTTTATAGATTAGGTTTATTTTCTAATTCAAATATTTTTTACATAATTTATATTATAAAAATTAATTTACCTATCAATAAATATATTTATTAATTTAATAATATTTTATTATAAAATATTTTAAAATTTTACTAAATATTATTTTTAAACAACATTAAAATTATTAACTTGTGTAATTATTATAATATGTATAATTATTTTCATACTTTTAAGTAAAATAATGTTTGATTCTTAGTATACCAAATACAATAATCTTTAATTCGTAAGAATTAATGATTGTTAACCAAACAAAATGATTTCAAATCATGACTGATAAAATCACCTTGATAATAAAATTACTTCGATAATTATATTACCATTATGATTTTTCAAAAGATAGCAAATGCTACCTAAGAGTTATATGATCTTTCAAAAGATACCAAAAGCTACCTAAGAGTTTATATTTTTTTTGCATTGTCAATATAAATATTATACATTATCAATGGAACATACAATGATACCTTATAAAAAAATTAATTTTCAAATTTAGAATCCTATACAGAAAATATATTTAAATCTAAAATATATTTTAAATTATTTAAATAAAATAATTCATTGACATAATATAACATTTATACATTACAATTAATTACACAATAATAATATAAAAATTAATTTTAAAATTTTAAAATCATAAATAGTAAATATATTTAATATAATATATATATATATATATATATATATAAATATGAATCCTTTTGATAAGGTTTAGTTAATGGACTTATGTTTACTAATGGACTTATGTTTGCATTAAACATAAGTCCATTAACTAAACTTTAACTGCATTAAACATAAATTCATTAACTAAATCTTATTAAAGAATTTATATTTATATATTTTTTAAATTAATTATATTTACTATTTATGATTTTTTAAAATTTTAAAATTAATTTTTATAATATTATTGTGTAATTCATTGAATAATATTTATAATATCCTTGCGTGTTAAAATCAAACAATTTCCAACTTCGGCACCGCAATATCCTCCAAATCCTAAACAATTACTAGTCAGCTTTTAAAGATACGGCACTAGAATTACGTGTCAACCTCCTTCTAATTTTGCAGGCTGAGTAGTGGACTAACTTTTCTTCAAATCCCTTGAGCTCCCCCTCTATGATTGATGGAGAGGTCTCTTTCTCGCCTATATTCTTGGCCTACATCACAATTAAGCGCAAGAGCCAATAGTCAGGAGATCACCCTCTCGAATAATGAACATCCTCTCCATTAATTGATGTTCCTTCTGGTTTTAAGCCGATCTTATTAATCACTCGCTTTTAGCAAACACATGCAAGAAATGATAATTGGAAGCTCCCAAACATCAAGAACCGCTGCATGAAGAGCAGTTGTCTGAAACTCTATACGCACAGTCTACGTGGAATAACCCCACTGCCTTGGAGCGGTGTGGTGACCACAATGCACAAAGGCTCCACTGGCTACTGCCAACTTGCTGCTGCAGCAAGCACCTTCTTGGAAATTAAAAACTACAAATTTAAGCGGACCATATTTGGCAACTACATCACCAGCAAACCATATTCAGTTATTCACCAAATTAGAAAACTCCATTGAAGAATTCTTCATTACCCTTCTTTTAGTTTGTAGCACCAAAGAGCTTGAACCCAATTATGTTCCAAGTACTCATGGGCGAAAAAGAGAAGTAATGCATTTGTTTTTCTTTTGTTCCGATATTTGATACACAGATGATCAATTGTTTATAAAATAAAAATTCTATGAAGTAGATTTATCTGTTTCCTAGTTTTAAAGGGAAAAAAAAAACCACGAACATTTGTTTTTCATCAAACTAAAAGAAACAAGCTTAACAAAGGGTTGATGTCTTTATAGCCAAATTTGCTTCTATGAAGCACAGAGGAGGATTAACTTGTACCCAAATGCAGTTTACATCTACCAATTTATGATGGATTGATTTCTATCTCACATGTGAGGTAATTGCGTCGCTGCAGGAGCCAATCCAAGAGTCAGTTCTAACCCAACATCAGTACTCTCCTTGATTTGGCTTGCAAACTTGAAAGCAGGAACCTTTTTGGTCTGGTTCACCAGCGAACCCTCCACAGTCTCCCCAGAGAACATGCTCTCATCTTCTTTGCTGTCACCATTTGCGAATTGGCTCATCCACGAGTCATTACTGGGCGAACCAACCTGTCGCTTGGACCTAGTCGCCGATCGCTTGAAACGAGTGCGTGTCTTGACTTTGCCAATGTCAGCTGGCTTAGGGTCCTTGGAGACGTGACGGATGTCATAGGTTTTGAGATGGGAGATCGGTTGCTGCGCAAGTGATTCAGAATAAGAAGTTTGGGTTATCGGCGAGCCCTCGAGCACTGCATCAACGGCGGCTTGGCACTCAGCCCAGTTGCCGGACCAGAGCATACCAACTGACCCATAAACTGGATTTACGACACGCCCACAAGCCTCATATAAAAGTGACCTAAAAATAGCTGCAATGTAATAAGAGGAATTATAAATTTCAGCTATGAATAACATCGACACTAACCTGAAAAATAAAATACTTTTTTTTTTCAGTAGGAACGCAGATTAATTACCAGGGCGAAGGTTTTCAGGGCCGGCTTCTATTAGATTGAGGAGGCCAGCACGGCCATAGAACTTGGCCAGGAAGAGAGTAGCATTGGCTTGAGAATCAGGGGACTTGATCCATTGAAGACAAGGTCTAATGATACAACTTTCGCTGCAGCCCTTACGCAGGATCCTGCAGCCATTACAGCTCATCCTCATGGTAATTTTGTTTGGGATTAATTTTTGAGGGAGAGATTGTACGAAATGGGAAAGGAGAAGAGCAGATTATATAAAGGGTAGGAGCGCAGTGGTTTCCAAAGGAGTGGTGGAATAAACTACCTGAAAACCAGGGCTGAATGTTTTGCTTTCCCATCTTTTTCTTATTTTGGTAAAGTTGGGGAGTGCCCTCTTTGGAAAATGGGATTCCTGATTGTTTTGGTGCGTTCCTTGTTTCTCAAACAACCCAACATGCACGATTTTATTACAAAACCAACCTACCATTTTAACTGCATCTTATTTTTTATTATAACATAATGCTTATAAAGTTTATATTAATAATTTATAATAAACAAATAATTAGCCAAAAAAAAATTGAGCCTTGGGAATAAGTCTTTTAATTTCTCTTTTATATTATTACCCTTATAGTTGTTGCCTTTGATTTAGAGTTCTATTGCTAATTATTTCTTGTCATTTTATTGTTATGACAAAATTTTTTCTTTTGGTTTTCTTTATCCAGTAATAATAATAGTTCCAACATATTAATTTTTTAAAACGGTAATTAAAAAGAAAAAAGACAATCGAAACTTCAAAACAACAAAAAGTGCTAGAAGACTAATTTTCATAACAAAGAGAGGTATAGGGGTAATGATGTAATTTTAGGGGATAAAAAAGTCCTGCATGTCAGAAAAGGAAAGACAGCATATGAAAGGTGGAAGCCATGCAAGCAAAGTGAGGTGTGAGGCAGAAAAACCGGCACAACAGATGCACGTGCAATGTACGCTCCTTTATCTTAGAACTGCGTGCGTCTCGCCGCATCTTTTTGCGAGCTCAACTGTTAAAATATATACCTCCAGTTTTTCAGGAGTCCGTACAAACAAGTGAACTAAAACATTTATTTTTCAAAGAAAAATATTATTTCTTTTTTTGGAATAACAAATAAATTTATGTTTCTTTGGCTAAAAATTAATAAAAAAATAATTCTTTTTTATAAATAATAATTTTATAGGCACGTGGTAAAATCAGATTTTCTAAAATAATAACATTTTAATAGATATAAACAAATATTTATAAGCAGATCATATTTCTTTTACTTTCTATATATTTTCGTAATTTCCTTAACAAAAAATTGCCTCATGTCTACTAATATGTTCTAGACTGTGGGCGCCCAAAGGGAGCCTGCCTGTGGTTTTAACTTACAAATTACCTGACTTCTATTTGGATTTTATCTTGAGTTCCGTTTGAGTTTTGGATACTCTCAAAAATAATACACAGTCACACCAAAACAAAAGGCAATATATACTATTCATTTATAGATATTTTTCATAAATTGATCTTTTAAAAACCTTGAAATTTTGGGAGTGTATGAGCTGTAGAAGAATAATTGATAATTAAATGATATTATCCCTCAAAAAGGTTAGGTGCCCCACAGCACTAAGGCTCACAAAACAAGATAAAAAGGATACAAAAATGGACTCTTGATGGTTTCATTGATGTAAATAAATATATATGAGAGGATGAATCTATTTATATTAGTGTAATTTTTATATTTTTTGTTTTTGAATTAAAATTAAAATTAAAATTTATTTGAATTAAATTATTAATTTTAAATTTAGTAGTTTTAGATTATATTTGATATATAAAATTATAATAAGATAAAATAATATAAGATTATAGATAAAATTAAATTAAATTATATCATCTTATATTATATTTGATATATGCAAATATTAAGAATAAAATAGAATATTATTTATTATTTATCATATTTGTTGTGTATAAGATTAAGGTCAGGATAAGATGATATTTTTTGTTGATCAAAATTACCCTTAATATACTAATTTGATTTTAAAGTTAGAACTTTTCAATTGGCGATGACGCTTTTCTCTGAGTTGGGAGAAGGACTTGAATACATGGAACATTTTAGAAACCAACACCTAATTCTCCATTAGATCAAATCTAAAATTTACTTTCCTATTTGGTTCCCAATAAAATAGAAGTCAAAAAGTCATAAATTTGTGTCTTTCATCATATTCATTCACAAGCAGAGAAAGTGCTTTAAGCAAGCAAATCTCAAGTTTTGGAATCGAAACTAGCTCATATTCCATCCACGGAATCAAGAAATAAGGTTTTCTTGATTATTGAGAAATTTGAAAGAAAATTGAAAAAACTCCACTTGATAGTGGAAATCTAAAAGAAAAATTAATGGAGAGAGATGAAAAGAATAACCTTTCTAAGATTAGGTGTTCACTAAGTTTAAAGAAATAATGAATGGACAACAAATATGATTTGGATACAATAAATACAAAGATATAGACTTTAAAGCTCTAAAACTTTTAATTTCTTTGAGAGATATAAATGTATAGCTTGTTGGTGCTTGCTCTCTTAATTCTAATTGCTTCTTAATGTGTTGGAATGCCCAATATGTAGAAGAATTGAAGAACTAATAGTTAAGGATCGTTTGGAGTTGAAAAAACTAGTTGAAGCTTGAAAAACTAGCCGTTGAAGCTTTTGTAGGCATAGGAGATCGATTAGTTTTAATAGGGGATCAATCTTATGCCTTACCTAATCGATCCTTTTTTGTAGGGATCAATCCCTTTTGCTAGTTTTTCAACATTTTGGCTTTTTGGACAAATAGCCAATCGATCCTATACAAAAGGTGATCGATCTTGTCAAACAAAAATCAATGCTGTCCCTTAAAAGTTTAGTCGGGTCAAGCTAGGTGGTTCTTTCCTATTTTGTACTCTACTTACTAATTTGATCATATATTGAGTTATACAACTCCAAATCAAAAATCATTTAAAGATTTAAAAACTAGACTTCAAAATGCTTTCTATCCATATCAAATTCATTATCTAATTCATTATATTCGAATTTTAGTGAATTTTCAAAACTATCCCTTGTGCAAATTTTAGACAACTGCATAGTATTTAGTAAAAATTTAAAATCTTTTCTTAGAAAATTTGGATTTTAATTTTGTTTGTTCCATTAGAAAGTAGACTCAAAGAGCTTTCCAACCAAATAAAATTCAAATATTAAAACTTTGCGAATTAATGCAAAAAAATAAAACAAATTCAATGCTGAAAAACTTTGTTATTGTAAAACAACTTTCTTAGGTTAATCTATTTCTCAAAACCAATATTATCAAAATTGTATTAAGTCATTTTTTTAACATTTATGGGCATAAAAAAAACATTTGGACATTTTCAAATTGTGATATTAAACTTTTCTAAATAGTTTAATAAGCTTAAATATGAGTTTAAATACATTTGCCCATTTTAGTAGCCTATTTCAAGGAAATATGGGGTTTAAAAATTGACTTTTTGATTTCCTTATTTCTAAGGCCAAATGACCACTTGAGCAACTTTGTTTTGTCATTTGAAATTTATTGGAATGGTTCAAGCTGGTTAAAAATGAGCTTGACTAGTTATAAGTCTTTGCAAGATCTTTTTTAAGCAAAAATGAGCTACAAATTTTCCAAAAATTAAAATCTTGGACATATTAAGCTTTGAATGGTTCATTTTATTTTGTTTGGCATAAATGAATTTTCTTACATGAGTTTAGTGATAAAAATATTATTTTTATGGCTTTAGTACATTTTGTATGGTATATATTGATCCATGAATAGTATGAAGCCTAAAGAGCTTACTTGAGAAATTTACTCATATTGCACATGCTTTTATGACTCAAACATGCTTTATGACTCAAACATGTTTTCTTATTTATGAAAAACGTTTGCAAACTTGTTCCAAAGTTTTTTGAATGGAAGTCAAAAAGGTTTAAATGTTTTAAAGGTGTTTTGGGCACTATTTATGCATAAATGGGGTTCGGACCATTGAAAATTTGAAATACATGCATTGGTTAAATATTTGTGCTTTTATCATATTTATTTGATCATTTCAAATTTGTTTGAAGTGGTTTCAATGCATAAACTTTGTCCAAACACATTTTCATACTTGAGTTGCAAAAAAGGTAAAGTTAGAACATTTGCAAAATCATGCCAAAATTTTGCTTCAAAATGTTTTTGATCCAAATGTTTTATTTCTACAAGTCTAAAATGATGTTTTGAACATATTTAAAATTTATTTTCGACTAAAAACATCAAAATCCCATATTTGAAATTAAAAAGCTGCAATTCTTTACTGTTTTATTGATCAAGTAGAAAAAGGGATCAATTCCCTCTTAAACGGATCGATTGATTTTTTGACCAGAAAACAAATTAAGTTTCAAAAAGCAAAAGGGGATCAATCGCCCTATATAGGGGACGAATCCCCTCATGGAGGCAATCGATCCATTCATGCAAAATGCCATTAAATTCATTTTGTCTATTCAAATGGTTTCGAATCACAAGTGCCAAGCTTATGTTATATCCCTTTGACCTTTTGACTTTTGATTTTAATTTTGACCTTAAATTTTTCAATAATTTTTTAAAATAATAATAATAATAATAATAATAATAATAATAATAATAATAATAATAGCAATTGATATAGGAGCTTAAACATTTGGTATAGAGAGTTTAAACGAAAAAGGTAAGAAATATTTTATGAATATATTTGCTAATACCTTTTTGTGTTCATTTGTTCATGCCTTTTTGATATGACAAAAGGGGAAGAAATATTTGGTCAACAAATTTGCTTGTGCTTGACATATATATGTTTCTATGTGCTTAATTGTTATGTATACTTTAACATATGTTAGTTGAGTTGTGTTAGATTAGGATGCATATATTGAGGGGGAGTTTTGCCATGTGTTGGATTAAGATGCATAAATTGTAGAAGAGTTTTGCCATGCGGGAGTTTTTCAAAATGTTTTTCAAAAATCTTAAATGTTTTAAACAAAGTTTTTCATCAAACAAATTTATCTTTAAGTTTTGTCATATCAAAAAGGGAGAGATTGTTAGCCTTGAATTGTTCCTTATTTTGAAATGACAAAACATTAAGCTAAATAAGCTTGATCAAGATTTTGAAAAAGATTTATTTAGTACAAGTTCTTAAGTTTTATTGTTTTGGTACTAAATAAATAATATGACT